ARRMMARATCTGATTTCTGCATAAAAATAGAGCAACACTTGTCKTGCAGTTATACTAACTTTCTCTAGATGATCTTGAYTCTGTTCTCTTGTCACTTCTTTGTTTCACTTCTCTTCTACTGGACGTCTGCCGTGGACTTTGTACTCTTCTACGTGATGACTCTCTTGATCTGCCTCTTCTCTCATCATCGCTTATAGAAACATCAGAATAGTCTACAAATAAAYGAATGTATCAAGTATTACTCTCTATCACTAAAACTTTACATTCTAATATTCAGGGTTTGTACTACATTTTACTACAAAATTCCAGGACTTTTCAAGTACTTTTTAAGCAAAAAGATGCAATTTTTGATGTTTCATTTCCAGTGTCAATTTCCAAAAAAAAAATACATTTCAATCCAAAAGCTAAAAAGGAAAATGTCAATTTCACAAGATTCAAGGAGTTTTTCCAGGAGTTTTAGTGRTTTTCCACATTTTCAAGGTCTTTTCAAGAGCCCTTGAAAATGAGTTTTCAATTCCAGGACTTTTCAAGGATTTCAAGGAGTAGCACAAACCCTGAATATTTGAACCCTAAGAATACAGTCATCACAACAGGATGAGATAATGTCAAAATAATTGAAGACTTGCTGCAAACTGAGGGAGGARTACCTGAAGATGTATAATCATCRTCACTGTCATCATAATCATCAGCTGGTCTTGGTGGCATCATATAATCTAAAAAAATATACAAATCATTCAGTCAACTTATAAATGTTACAACATTGTTAGGACTTTTAATTGATAACATCATGTGTAGCAGTTTGATACAAATACATCCTTATGTCATGAAATTTTGCAAGTTGGAATAATTCAGAGATCGCTAGCGCTTCATGATAGAGATCTATCTTTTTCAAGGAGTTTTCAAGGACCTTTTCGAAATTTTCAAGTTTTTAATTCAAGCACTTTTCAAGGATTTAAGGACCTGCACGGACCCTGTAAAATGGACTATTATCTTTGGGTCTTGCTAGTTCTGACTAATGAAAAATGTCAAACATTCTACAAACTTGTATTACCTCTAGGGTGGGCAGCCATCATGTTTGGCATCATCATTCCAGGATATGGTAGTCCTCCCATGTGTGACTGGGCTAAAAAGAACAGGCAGGTATTTATCTTACTGCACAGGAAATATCAAGAATGTGATAAATAAACTATTGACTACTTTGAAAGATATTGCTAGAACACGGCTTTAGAGCTAGGGGACTAAACAACAAGATTAAGACCACACAAGTGCATGTATGTATACTGTTTTTGTATGTTGGAACAGCAAAAATCCTTTATTCTATGTTAAATTTATTTACTTTGGTCAGTTAATTGTTTGTCATAGTACTCAAGCAATACGTTGTCTAACGGTTRGCCTATTTGCTCACTGTATTTCTAGTCCCCATGTCRGRGCCGAGACATATCAGGRCCAYTTTTGAAAATGTTCAATTATACATACTGTTATGGTGCATTTGGTACATCATTGGATGCGATGGCCGACTGTGAGGAATAAAACCTAAAAAGAATAATATCAATATCCACTATTAAACAACAAATCAAAGAGGAAAAACAGATCATAGAATCAACCTTCATATTAATAAATATGTGAATAATTTCAAAGTTTGCAATGATATTCTGTACCATAATACAGTCAACTCTCTTGATATTCTGTACCATAATACAGTCAACTCTCTTGATATTCTGTACCATAATACAGTCAACTCTCTCGTAAGCGACCACCTCGGGATCAGGAAAAAGGGTCGCTTACGAGAGATGGTGGCTTACGAGAGAGAAAAATTTAAAAAGTGGTTGCATACAGGGTTTGGTCGTTTACGAGAGTGGTCGTTCAAAGAGAGTCAACTGTATTTTAAAATAATGCAGATTACTGAGGTTATTTAGTAGTTCCATTCCCATAGCAACCTTATCATAACCTATAACATTCACCTATCCAATGTCTACCTACCATCATATCCCATGGGTCTTTGCTGCATTGGTTGTGGCCCAGTCATATATGGTCTTTGAGTAGGTGGCATAGCAGGTCTTGGTGGGCTATTATACATAAGAGGCCTTGGCCCAGGCCCCCCTCTGCCTGGATTGCCAGGGTGACGAGGAGCACCTAACAGAGATGTGAAATACTGAATATCTGATTGACTTAAAAGGGAAAGTTTTRCTTCTAACTTTCATTGTTTTGGCATATCATTTTGCTATCAATGTTTTGTTATAAGGAGCCTTATGAGCAGTTCACTGACTAGATTTGATGCAAATAAAATCAATATGGAGTTACTGTAAGAATTTGTTGCTCCATGCGTTGCTATACAGTGTATTCTACAATGGATACATACCTAGCGTTGGTATACTCTGTACTGTTGTGTTCTTTGGCTTTGTATGCATGAATGGACAGTATGGCTTCATACAGCCTGATGGCTGAGATTCCCAGAGACAAGGAATGGTACTCCTATCCTTCTGTAATAAAATGGTAATAAAAGATAAGATTTATTCCCTTATTGTTGTACCACACTTTATACACAGGCTTTACCTCTATGACCATATGYCTAAAAGTACAGACTTTCTTAAAACATGTTCCTCTCTCCCATAGATTGCATGTTATCTCACAKCCTTTTGCTGCAGGTTGGTGTCTGAATGGACATGTATCACCCTGGAATACAATAGAATGGGTTCATGTTACTTTATTCTCCCAATGATCATTTATTCACTATTAGATATTACATTTGTTTATTAGTGCCCTTTGCAGATAAATCTGAATACACCTTTTTCCAGTTAAAAGTGAACAACTGCTGCTTTAGTTCACAACAGTCTGTCATGAGCATAGACCTTACCTTCTTTTGAGAAATGAAAAATTAAAATTCAAAAATTAAATGTAAATTAAAAATTGTATTGTACAGTACTACACCTCATTCTTTCATTAACTATGGAATATACAGGTTTATTGAGTTTCAAGTTCTTATTAAATGAATCTAGTACATATACTAGCCCTACAATAGTGACTTTATATTTGCTGCAAGCAGCACATCCTCACAACTAAGATTAGGGAAAACTTCAGCTCTATTTTCAAGGTCCACTATGTATTAAAATTCATACCTTTGCACAAGTTGARTAGTAGTAGAAGTAACAGTCATCTCCAGTTTGTGCCATGGCTGGACAAGGAGCTACAGTAGTAGTGTGTAACACAATCAACTTACAACACATTTACATAGTACATTGTTTGTATACTATTTGCTTCCCTAATACCAAGGATTTAAGAGCCGCTTCACACAAAAATCAGACATATCTTGGCTATTTTTTGGAGAGCTATTTTTAGCAATCAATTGTTTAGCGATTTTCTTGCGAAAAATAAAATATTTTCAAAAACAAATTACACAGCGATTGTAACCTACATGTAATCATACCTTATCAACATACAAAATATGAATAGATTTGATTTTTCAAGCCTTGCCAAAAATTTTCAGTTTTGTCTGGTTTTTGTGCGAAGCAGCTCTTAATATTCTGACTTTTCCAGGCTCTTAGAGATAAGGGCAGCTAAATCTATTAGATGTTAATTCCCTCACCTAACAAAGGATTGATGCTGTAAAAAGTGTCAATTCCCAACTCTGTGCTAATAACCCATGGGGAGGGTGGGGGTTGGAATTCATGGATGCATTATTCACTCTCTTATTATTCATTTAAGACTGATTGGTCCACCAGCATGCTTTTTTTCGTCTATGCTTTTATTAGTGAAATAAAGCACTGAGGATGTTTGGACAATAGTTTTTTTTTTCATGTTCTCCCAACATCCCTGCAGACTTTTTTCTTAGATAACTGTACAGCAATCCATCCTTTATTGCTTAAAATTTTTTGTACAAAATGAAAGAAATTTGCAATGACATTACCTTTATATTATGGTCCTGAAGTAAGAACTGCAGGATTAATCCAACAGAAATAACCAAATAAACAGCTCCAACAAGACACACACAACAATATTAGATATCCATGAAGACCTTGTGCAATATAACAGGGTTTGTGTACAGTAGAATAGTCAGATAATAAATCAAGTTCAAGTTGTTTCTTGTTAACAGCAGCTGCGTACTTGGTTTTCACGTCCGTCCTAACTGATAGAATACAGGGAAATTGCCACAAATCCTTGCAGAGATGGTCTCAGGATCAGCAAGCACTTGTCTTATTGCTATACTTTTCTTATAAGTCCATTGCAATCAAGACAATCATAGGAATATAGAATATACTGATTTCTATAGCAAGATATTATTTGATACATGAAGATGCTTCAAACCTACAACTCTATAGAATAGCAGGACACTGATATCATAATTATATCTGTAGATGTTATCATATTGCTGTTGTTATCCCAAATAATTCCATGCATATACATGTATGCAAAACCACGCCGACTACTGACATTATTTATAGATCATACAACACTGAAATGATTGGGTCTTCACATGATTGACAGATMACCCAAACACCCAATTRGTTGTTTATGTGATGGGCAGRTCATCCAAACAGCCAAATAATTGGCTGTTCAGATGATTGACAACTCACACAAACACCAAGTGATTGGTTGTTAGGATGATTGACAAATCAAACTTAGAAAACCAAAGTCCAGCAGTGGTTGTAAAATATAGGTCTGTAAACAACACATACTTTCTCTTGATTAATCACATGAACAAAATTGCATTGTAACCGAAAATAAAAATGTTTGCTCTAGTCAGTTACTCTATTTCAAGATTACTGACTCCAAGAAACTGGCTGGACCATGCAAAGGGGAATATTGTTATTTTTATAGTGAAACAAGTACCTCACCAAGTCTCATCACAGAACCAAATATCCAACTTACTTATAGTAGAGGGTAAGCGTGTTGACAGATCACACTTCGACATAATCTTATTAATAGTCTTGATTGGTTGTTAATATATAATGGACCATCGTTGATAACCCTTAAATGCAGTGCTTTTTATTCCAAATTTATACTGATAAGACTGTCAACATGAAAATCTAGTAGTTTTTTAAAACTTATTAAAACTTTCCTGGATAACACCTTATTTATGACTTTGTGAAGTAATTGTTACAAATTGTAGTGTATTGCAGTATTCAACCTGTATATTGTTAAATCTATAGACAATATCATACATGTACAATAGTAAAATTCTTGATACATTTGGCAACAAACATCTTCCATTTAATCACTTCCACACAAACAAACACACCACACACATTACTTTTTGTGAATTAAGTGCTGCTTATTAMAATTATCATTGGCAGTTTCATCAAGGTTTCCTTAAAAAGGGATTCTTAAAACAAAGTTCTGTATCGATATATTCAGAACTGCAAGTAGTGCATAACCATGTTGTGATTTTTATGTGATTTTAGACATATTTATGGTAGTAATGAAACATATTGGTGTACATGYAAAGGATTATTGTGTGATGATTAGGCCACAATTAAATCAATAAAAAGATCTCTTCTCTAACACTCTTAACCTAAAAATAACCTTTCCCTTCCTCTAACATTCCAAACCCAAAACKTCAGTACAATACTGGCTTAAACTAGTTAATCAGGGATCAAAGAAAGCAAGACATAATTACAATAATAAAATAAAAGGATTAACATTAATTCATCATTGAAGGGTTTTTACGCCAATTAACAATATCATACTGTGCCATTTTCAAAAGGTAGCTTTGCCTTTGAATCAAAGCAAGACATTCAGTGAACTTGCAATAATAGATTTAGGAGCATTACATAAAGGTTTCTATTACTGCAAACTCATCATCTGTTTTGGATCAATACAAAAGATCAGCTACTTTTTAAGAAATTGCTTGGGGCTGTGAAAGAGACAATATTTGAAAGGAAGTACGAATGGAGGAGTAGGATGGAATCTCTGAACCTACATTAAACCATCCATTTAACTTAAACCAACTTATGTACACACATTGGTGGAAAAATATGGAGTTAGTAAAAMCAGCAAACACAGCACAAAACATTACATCAATCCATTCCTAAACAACAACATACACGGCAGAATTTTTCAAAAATCTGAAAATGAAYGTTAATACTGCGACAACATCAGGAACAAATCCAAGTTACAGGTCTAATAAAACAGACATGCACGAAAAAAAAGGAATATAATAAGTCTTAAGAAATCAAGAAAAGAGAGGACTACCAAGTGTGTATCAAGTGCAAGGATGCCTAGCCTTACTTCTGAAAACAAAACGACCTTGAGGCATAATTTCGTGACAAAAAKATATTGAGATACGCTTTAAATTATAAACTACCCGTTGATGTCAAAAAACAAGCAYAACTAGCTCAAACCACTCGCTCGGTCGAGAACGAATCTTGAACGAACGGACTACAGAGTAGAAAAGCGCGTCTCCTCATTTTTGCTGAGTCACAAACAAGGATAAGACCACTTTTACGTCGGGAAGAATGAATGATAATATATCACTATCACTTGGTAAAWAAGTGAGGAAAGAAGCTCGGAATAAGTTGATTCCATTGTCGAAATCCACAACAYACAAATATAATCACGTCACATCTAAACACCGAGCGAAAAAATACAACTTTTCTTTACCAAAGAGAGGGAAAAACTTCTCAAAGAAGCTCTCGATACTCCAACGATGACCACGATTCGTCTTCGTCTTGATTCAAACTGAATTTTCCATAAATATTAGCAAGATATCTGTGATTTTCAAACCAAAGATCCGACAACTATAAAATGGCGAACTCGAACATCCTGGGAGCACGTGTTTCGGTCTCAGCGCATGCTCGCTAATCTCATATCTACACAGGGATCCCGAGCTTCTTGTTGTCATATGATGCCGGGAAGAGGCGGGTTTGTAGTACGCATTCCATATATGGCACAAACTAATAAGGGAATAGAAGCACTAACAAGCGAATATAAGCACTAAACAAGCTAACAGGGGTCCATACTTTTTTTCACTTGTATATTTTTCTACAGTTTTTTATCGACTTATTCGAGCTTTTTAGCTACGCCTTAAAACTTATTAAAAATTTTCTTATCAAATTTTAACTTAGAATTATGAATTTAACATTTTATAGCCTGACACGTCCTTTTCCCTAAACCTAACCCTTCGACTAAAAATGTAAAGCGCCTTAACTAACTTGACCACGAGAGATTACGCTGGCAAACAACGAATTGTTTGTGACATTTAAGAGTATTTGGCATTGCTAATAGCACCGGTAAATTGGGATTCCTTAGGGGCCGCTATTCGCTTGTTAGGTGCTTCAATTCCCTAATCTTTCATGGTCAAAATGGTAATGGATGAAAGGGTCTATTTCTAGAAAATGGTAGGTTTTCACTTTTCCATCTTTCCTTTTAATATTTTCAAACTTCTACTTTGGTTTCGCCGATCCTGTCTCAATATTCCGCAGAAAGGAATGTCTCAGTTTAATCAGTTGTTCTGTGTCAGCTATATTCTAGACANAAGTTAAAACTTTTATGTTGGATACTTAAATGAAGTTTCTATAATATGGTTCAAAGCCTTTTCTTTTTTCCTTTTTGTCTTCTGAAAAATAATTCTGGATTTTTAAGTAATTTTTTCTCCTCAAGTATCAAATTCTTTAGCAAGTCCTTTTAAATTTCAAACTTCAAGATGTAAACATTTTGATGCTGTTTTGATGTTATTTTGCAGCTATGGCTGCTCAAAAACGAGTTGCAATTGACTTTTATCGACGAAGACGATATTCCTTTATCATCTATTCGTGTGATACACTGTGATTCGGACCAAGAAGAGCCTTCAGATGTTGATTCTTCTGGATCCGACTCCGAAGAGGAAAGTGACGAAGAACAAGAAAGTGCATGAAGCACAAATGGAGCAGATAATCTAGATAATCTTCGCTGGAATACAGCAATAAACACATCAACCGACTTTGCTTTTAATGAACAAGTTGGTTTGACAATAGACATGCCCAACAATAGCACATGTAAAGACTTCTTCTAACTATTTTTCACCGAAGAAGTTTACAGTTTGATACTTGAGGGGAACTAAACGTTTTGAAGAGCAGAAGCGAGGTTTAGATCAGGATAGTGAAGGAGATTTTGTAACGTCATTGTCATGTGTTCTAGGTCACACAACCTAGTACACTTCGTACGACACATCAATAAAGCATTAGTTCAACCACGAAGCCTTTACATGGTGGCAGCGAGGTAGAACTCAGCCCAGCACTAAGCGAAGTTTCGAACATGGGAGACAAAGACAAACAGTCTGGAAGTAAAGGCAAAGCACCAGAATCAGCGACGACTCCAGCGCACGCAACAGGATTTAACTCCATTCAGTCAAACCCAATGTTCAATTTCCAGCCACCTACAGATCTCGATGTGATCGACAAGCATAGAGCAGAAAATTGGAAAGTCTTCAAGCAACGATGGGAAAACTACGCGATCATCACACAGTTAAACAAGCAACCCGAAGAATATCAGGTTGCTGTGTTTTTATAGTCCATAGGGACTTAAGCCGCAAAAACATACAATACTTTTGACATCAGACGCGGAAAGACAAAGTCTCCAATCGATCATTCAAGCATTCGACAAATTCGCACTTGGAGAGAGAAACGAAATATATGAAAGATACAAGTTTAATAGCAGAAACCAACAAGATGATGAATCAATCAATCTCAGCATACGTGACAGAAATACGACACCTTGCTCAGACGTGTAATTTTTGCAAATGTCTACACGATACGTTGATAAGAGACAGGATCGTTCTGGGAATAAAGGATCACGAAACAAGAAAGCAGCTCTTACAAAAGAAGAATCTCACACTCGCTCAGTGCATCGATGTGTGTCTCGCCAGCGAAACAACGAAAACACAACTAAAAGCTCTCAGTAAGCCAGATCTGGAATCAAATATTCATGAGTTAAAACCAACAAGGTCAAACACTCAGCGACTTGACAGACACAAGCCAGATAAAGAGTCAAAGAAGTCAACAGGAAAAGCACTAAGATGCAATTACTGTAGACAATACCTCCAACACTGGTGCCCTACTACAGTTTCCGTGATGAGCTAGCCGTGCATGAAGGTCTTGTCTACAGAGGGGAACGACTTGTCATCCCAAAGGAGCTTAAGCCATTGATGCGTGAAGCCATCCACAGCTCACATATTGGAATCAACGGATGTCTCCGCCGAGCCCGCGAGAGCATGTTCTGGCCATCAATGAATGCCGATATACAATCATACATTTCACGATGTGAGACCTGCAACGCGTATGAAAACCGTCAAACCAAAGAGACACTGAGGAGTCACTTACCAACAGACAGGCCATGGGAGAAAATTTCAGCTGATTTGTCTCGCTCAATGGAAAGGACTATCTAGTTGTAAGTGACTATTTCTCAAATTTCATTGAAATCAATCATCTAGAAGATACCAAGTCATCCACGGTGATAAGGAAAATGAAAGGTCATTTCGCAAGATACGGCATCCCAGACAAGGTGATAACTGACAACGGACCCCAATTCACATCAGAAACCTTTAAGATTTTTGCCGAGAAATGGGACTTTGACCTGCTGACAAGCAGCCCAGGACACCAGCAAGCCAACGGCCTGGCAGAGTCAGCCGTTAAGACGGCAAAAAGGCTATTACGCAAAGCCAAGATGGATAGGCCAACGCAACACCCCTTCCGAGCTAATAGGGAGTAGTCCAGCACAACGGCTATTCGGACGAAGAACCAAAACACCTCTTCCAACTACCACCGGGTTACTAAAGACACAAGGCATCAATCCTGAATCTACGACGGAAAGGAGAAAGATATCTCAAGCAAAACAAGCCAACTACTACAATAAGAATGCGAAAGACCTGGAAGCTCTACAAGAAGGAGATGTCGTACGTATGCGCCCTTTTCAACTCAACAAAAAGACATGGGACAATTAAAGCAATGGTACGACGCAGACTAGATGATCGCTCCTATGAGGTGGAGACTGACAACTCTCTATACAGGAGGAACCGAGTGGATCTGAAACGGACTCAAGAGGAGCCAATCAACAAGGAGGTCAACATCCCCACTGAATCTTCACATCCACTGCCGACACCACTCGAGGACGCACCAATGTCTCTGGCACCTAAGGATGGAACAACTGCGCCACCAACAAGACCCGCAAGGGTTAGAAGGGAGCCAGCCTATCTAGAAGACTTTGTTAGGTCCTAGGCTACTTACCCAATGAACATAAAGACATACAACACAAAGTTCATATTAGCTTAAGACATAGTTTCTGTTGTACCTCAAAGGAGGGGAGATGTAACGTCATTGTCACGTGTTCTAGGTCACACAACCTAGTACACTTCGTACGACACATCAATAAAGCATTAGTTCAACCACGAAACCTTTACAGATTTGAAGAATCTCACCCGAAATGAATTGAAAGCATGGCTTGAACTTACTCTTAATAATAATAATAATAATTTAATTTATATAGCGCTTAAATTATAAAATATTCTAAAGCGCTTTACAAAATATTTACAGAATATATAAATACAATAGATAAATAAATAAATAGATAAATAAAAGGATTATAAGATATATGTATACATAAAATAAATATAAAAATTTCTGGGGAAAACAAATCAATAATATGCCTTCTTAAAAAGGTGAGTCTTAAGATTTTTCTTGAAGGTCTCTACATTTGTTGATAGTCTGATATCTAGTGGTAAAGCGTTCCATATTCTAGGTCCGGCTATGGTGAAAGCACGGTCACCTGATTTTGAGCTAGATCTTGGGATGGACAAGAGATTTTTATCATCAGATCTTAGGTTGTATCTCCTCGTTGGCTGCGCCTGAATTAGGTTTGTCAGGTAAACAGGGGACAAACCATTTTGAACTTTAAAAACCAGTAGAGCAATTTTAAACTCAATCCTTTCCTTTACTGGAAGCCAGTGAAGATTTATCAGAGATGGAGTAATATGGTCAAATTTAGGAATATAATACACAACTCGTGCAGCTGCATTGAGGACTTTTTGAAGACGTTCTAGTTGATAAGTAGGAATANACGACATTTCGCTACTGCATCAATGCTGCTTGTTGTATGCGGAAGGGAACAAGATCAAACATCAGGCCTTTGTCTGACTTCACTGTAATCTTAGACCCTAAGGCAAAAGCTAGTGAAGAAGAGCTTAAGAAAGTAGAGGATGCTGGATTTAAAACAAATTTGAAAATAAGGACATTATGACAAAAAACTGGGTGTGCTTTAACTCCTCATTCCAGGCATTATTGGGTGGGCCAAACTAGTATGTATTTCACAGAAAAAGAATGTTAACTTTGTTACCGTTTTTAGAGCAAAGACACTAAATGAGTGAAACATATCAAGATTTTATAACTTCCGTTGCAAAGTTCGTTGATTGTGCAAAGTGCGTGATATATGCATTTAACTTTAGCATTATGAAACATTATAAGACAAAAGAAAACCACTCAAGCTGAACGCTTTCTGTTGTATTTTAATGTATTACTAAAGTTCTAAAGCAGTGCAAAAAATCTTTTTTCTTTGGACAACGTTTTTGCAATTAGGTGTATGTTATTATGTGTAGATATAAGGAACCAGCTGATTTTTGAGTGATTTAAATGTAATCAACAGAATATTGAACTTTTAAGATTTAAAAATCTTGAAAGTATCAATTTATTTATATTATATTTTCGTTAATTTGACTGATAATTTTTATATTGTCTATTTTCTATTACCGGTATTACTGAACTTTTAGCAACTAGCAACTAGCGGTCTACC